CTCTGAAGTGAATTCTTCTTGGAGGGAGGGTGGTGCTGAGCACTTAGTTGGCAATGGGGCCGGCCCCTCAGGCCTCTCTATTGATTCCCTGCTTCATGTCAGTGTGTTGCATTCTTGTCTTAGGGCTCTGGATTGAAATCTGGTCCCTCTTTCCCTGTGGAGACATAGTCAACACCCTCCCCCTGTGTGGGTTAGTGCCCTATTCCTCCGGCTACCCATGTCTCCCCCACCCTTTTAGTGGGCTACTATATGTATCCCTTAGTTTAGTCTGGCCCCTTTCAGCACATTTTTAATGCCGTTTTTGTGGCAAAATTAGGTGCCTCATTTGATATTTGGGTTGGCTTATACTCGAGTATATATGGTATGTGAATAAAAATATGGGTAACTGTTAAAATGGAATTCTGACATAGGAATCTTATAGATATCCCAATAGATAGAAGAACACACATGCATAGACTCACTCCTACTATCGTTCATGTATATAACTCACTTCAGTCACTGCCATCGAGTCAAGGCTGACTCACAGCCACCCTGTAGGACAGGGTAGAACTGCCCCTGTTGGTTTCCTAGACTGTTACTCTCTGTAGGAGCAGAAAACCTCATCTTTCTCCCTCAAACAGCTGGCCTCACATATCGCAGCCCAAGGCGTAACTAGTACGCCACCCAGGGCTCCTATAGGACTACCGGACTAGAAAGTCTCTTCTTTCTTCTATGAGCAGCTGGTGGTTGCAAACTGCTGACCTTGTGGTTAGTCGCCCAACTCATAGCCATTATGCCACCAGGGCTCCATTTCCATGATGTAAACTCTTTTTGTTTAGCTACTAACCGTAAGGTTGACAGTTGAAATCCACTTAGGAATGCCACAGAAGAAAAGGCCTAGCCATCTGGTTCCATAAAAATTACACCCAGGAAACTGTTTGAGAGGTCTCTGAAATGGTTGAAATTTCTTTGAGACAAATTCATATTGATCAGCCTGCTCTTAGGAATTCTGAGTTGTCACCTCTCCTTTGCCTCCACCCACACCACGAATCTTGTCTCTATAGGTAGTCGACACCTTATGACAGGTTTCAGTTCTAATAATTTCATTGTACATCACTTCTGGCATAAGTCAAAGACTTCATTTTTTTCTTTTTCTTAGCATATTATTTTTGGTATATACAAATTCAACTATTTGGGTTGGAAACATTACTATAATGTTATATGCATACGCATAGATACATATACACATATGGGAACATACACAAATGGTAGTTATTTACTTCATATTGAGGTTTATTGCAGATGGATCTTGTCATTGCGAGTAATCCTCCTGAGTTTTTGTTATACTGTTTATACTCGAGTACAGCCAACCCGAATATCAACTGAGGCAACTAGTTTTGCCACAAAATCTGCATTAAAAATGTGCTGAAAAACAACTTCTACACGAATATATATGGTATGTTCTTTTTTTTTCAGTTTATGAAACCCAGCCTTAATAAACCTACAGAGACAGTGCTATAAAGGTTTCTAGGGGGTAGAGTTGGGGGTGGGAGGTAAAAGGGAGCTGATATCAAGGAGTTCAAGAAGGAAAAGAAGGTTTTGAGAATGATTGTGGTAGCTTTTGTATAATACTGCTTGCTATGATTGAACTAAGAAATGACAGGATATGTGTATAGTTCCCAATAAAATGCTTATTAAAAAAAACGACTTCTATGAAGACGAGTTGGAAGAGACAGGTCTTTTCTGGGTTGTGGTAATAACTCCAGTTGTGGAAGGCTCTGGATCGTTCTTGGGGATGGGGGCGGCCTTTCTGGTCAGAAATTTAGTAAGAGTTGTATGCAGGGTACTTTCTTTTTTTCTGCATCTATTTCATGGTAACATTTCACTGCTTCTTGAATCTAAAAGATATCAGTGTCTGAGTCCATGTTTTCAAGAAACTGAAGCCCTTATATAAAATGAACTTTTTAATGGTAGTTTTTTTTTAACATTAAATCATAAAGTTGGATATATGCAAGTGAGCATCTATGAATGATTGACAAAACAAATTACACCCTATTACATTGCATGCCATACATATTACTAATGACAATACGTACCCCACACCCCAAAAAGGTGGTTCATGTAATGTGAATGTCATAAGTGGGGACTATAGGTAGCCTTTGTCTCTGGCTTCTTCTACCCTAGCATGTTTCTGAGGTTCATCCATATTCTAACATCTATCAATGGCTTCATTCCTTTTGAATAATCCTTTATTACAGATAAGACACTTTTTCCTAATATTGGCTACTCTGAACACTTATACAACCTTTGGTTTAAATTCCGAGGTCTCTTCCTGATGATAATAGTCCATATGCCAACGGCAATTACAAAAACAGGACTAACACTCCAAATAGGGGAAACCTTTTGGCCTAAACCCTGCTGTCTGTTCTCCCTGAGCATTTGTATTAACCCTACAAATTATCATGGGAAACTAATTAATAATTAGCAAGTCAATTGATGAGTTTCATGATTCGACCAAGAACAATTTCATGCTGTAAGCTTTTGATTGAAACCAGTTTTTCCAATGAAGAATTTGTTTTAAAAAAAAAGTAACCCCCCCAAATCCTCTGGGGCAGTTGAAGTTGGGTCATCATGAATCAGATTCCACTTTTTTGGGAACATCCTGTGGAGAAGGCCTGTGATTTACACAACACATGGACTCATCCTTGATTTCTAGACTCTGCTGTGGGTTCCCCTGGGCCTTCCAGAGACTGGCTGGACAGTTTTGGGCTCATCGCTGAGGTAAATTGAGGCAGATCACTTGCCCCACCTCCACAGCTACCACAGTTCAACTGTGGTCTTGCACTGGGTCCCTCGGAGCCAAGGGAGGCACCTACAGCCCTGGACCCTCCAAAGTCCAGGAGGTGCTTTTCCTGAGGCTTGCACTAGTCCCGCCCAGACATGGTAGCCACCGGGGGCTGAATCCTGGCTTCCTGGACCCAACCTGCTGTGTACCACAGCTGCCTGCCTCATCTTGGCTCACGTCCCTTGCTTTTTGGGTAGGCCTGAGATTAGACCGACACTTGCCCCACAACTCCCTCACAACTCTGGATTTCAAACCCTGTATTTAGTTGACCCTGACTTCCAAAGCCTCTCCAGGAAGCAATGACTGGATTCTTGGGCATTGGAAACAATTTCTGCTTGATGGCAGTATTTGCACAACAAATGCCAGTGCACTCTGTCTTCCTCAGCCTGAACACTCAGCCTCTTTGGCTATGGAAAAAGTGTCAATCAATCAATGTCCAGCTTTCCTAAAGCATGGCATCTCACCATTGTGTACATTTGGGGGGCCTCTGCACTATAGTAAGTTGTTTAAGAGGGCTCTTCTAGCTATAGTCTTTGTTACTCCTACAAAAATCACCTTTGTTTTCCTGGTGGGTCTGCAGAAGAAGGTAAGAGAAGTTATTGGTTGGGTTACAGGATTCAGCTGTGTCCGGCTGTTAACAGGGTTAACTGTGATTGCCATCCTGCTGGCTATACAATAAGAAATCTCAAAAGCAGTTTTTTACTTCTGGTTTTACTACCAGCAAATGAGAAGGGCCAAGGGTGGGGTGCCTCTTTTAGCTCCTGAGATTCCTGTAAAGCGAACTTCCTTGATCCAGGAGAGAACGTTAACACCTGGAGAGTAGCAGCAGCAGTGGAACCCGGAGGCAGAGCATGAGACAGAGCAGTGGACTTCCTAGTCCACAGAGCAAGTAAAACTGAGTGCGTTAGAGTAGGAGGCTGGCTGCCTCTGGGCACTTAGGTTTGCTGACCCATGGAGCTGGAGCCAAGTGCTTTCAGGTTGAGCTTTATTTGCATAGTATGCCCTTTGGACATTTATTGGCAGCTCTGAGAGAGCTCCGAAATACTCATCTGGGCAGAGGCCAGACCAAGAGGCTGAGGGCCAGAGATAGAGGCCTGCCTGCGGGCACGGCAGAGAAGAAACTCTCCTCACTGAGTATCTTGAGCTTTTCTCCATTGAATTATAAGCTGCTAACTTCCCTAAGACGCTCTATAATTGTGAGCACCGTCTGTGAGTTCTTGTGAATGACCATTGAATTAGTGGAATGAAGGGGATGGCCATTGAATGAGAGTGGGATGTCTGACCTATGTCTTAGAGCAGTCAGTCTTGAGAACAGGAGAAGGTCAGAAATGGCCCTGACAACATTTGAGTCTCTCAAGTCCTGCCCGCTTCATTAGCTTTCCTTCCTTCCAGAAGAGATGACGGATTCCCTAGTTGGCGACTTAAGAGGAGACATACTTAAAGCTATAACTATGGTGCTCCAGCTTGGTCAGGACCGCAGGAGATAGATTACATCACCATACAGAGTTCTTATACCTCTCCACAAAGCCAGTTGGATATCAATTTCTACTTTGTTCCCTTTTTTGGAAAACATACACCTATAATTCAGGAATGCTGCCAAGAACCAGATTTGAGAGAATCAGATCATCTGAAATAAAATGAATCTTTCAAGATATTCTTTCTTTAGGTAAATGCAGTACTCAACTTGGGCCACTGGTAATGACTCCATGGAAATGAATGGCTCCTGCTGCTGCCACCATGGGCTACTCTCTTTGTAGGGGGAGCCCTAGTAGTGTAGTGGGCTGCTAACTGCAAGGTCACCAGTTCAGAACAACCACCTGCACCTTGGGAGAAATATGAGGCTTTCTACTTCTGTAAAAACTCCGTTTTAGAAACCCACAGGGGTAGTTCTGTGTTGTCATACAGGCTTCCTCTGAGTTGGAATCAACTCGATGGCAGTGAGTTTGGTTGGTTTGTTTGCTCATTTATTGATGTGTGCGTCCAAAGGTCATCAGGCATTCCAACATTGGGAGGTAATAGAAATTGATAGGATATGGGCTGTAGTCTTCCAAAAGGATAGAGATAATTTGTTTTGCCAACCCCTCACAAAAATATTCTAATCTTTGATGGTTACATTGTTATACCTTGCCTGTTGCTCCAATGCTGGATGCTATGACACTGGTATTTCAAACACCAGCAGGGTTGCCATGGTCGATGGGTTTCAGCAGCGCTTCCAGACTGTGAGCAGGATAAGGGAGAGACGGCCACTCCTGAAAGGTTACCACTGAGCCCCTAGCAGCAGAACACTGTCTGATCTGGTGAAGATGAGCCCCTCAGGTTGAGAGACACTCAACGTTCGGCTGCAGAAGAGCTGCCTCCTCAAAGCGCAGTCAACCTTTGGATGAAGCAAGGCTTTCAGGACCTTCACTTACTGATGAGGGACGACTCAAAGTAAGAAACAGCTACAGACAGGCAACGAGAATTGGATCACAAAATGTACACAGTATGACTCTGGGAAAATCATAAAATATTAAATAGAATGCTTTTTTCCCTGTTAAGCACACACATACACACACACACACACACACACACACACACACACATCTCCCCCACTGCACTCCCCAGCCCCCCAGGAACCCTTATTCTGGTTGTTTTCTCTATAGATTCATCAATCCTGTTTTTCATATACTGGAAAACAGACACACATAACAAAGATTCAAGAGGGCTACCCACAATGAGAAGATACAACAGAGATAAACCCTAATATGAAAACAAACCCCCAAACCACAGAAAATATTGAAAACCAGATATAGCCCAAAGCCTATGAAAGGGGAGATCAAGTGATAGGGTTTTAATTGTTCAAGCCAGGTCTATCATTTTGATATACTGTAGTCATCTCTCCAATACTCTGGTAACCAATTTATTCCCATCCCTTAATTATTGTTAGAAGGAAAACATCATCTTTATTTGCAGAAAAGACCCAGGCATTAGTTTCTTAATATACTCTGAATGTTTTGTGACAGACTGTAAAACAGAAGCAAATCCATTTTTGAGAGGACATTTTCACAGTGATTTGAAAGACTGGGTCCACCATAGTGTGTCCCAAGGGCTGCCGTAATGAAATAGCACAAAGTCGATGACTTTTAAGAGGGAGAATTCACTGTCATCTTTTTGGAAACTGGAGTCCAATTCAGAGTATTGGCGATGCTGATTCCTTCTGAAGTTCACACACACGCACGCACCCCTTTTTCATAGATTATGCCTGCTCCTAGCAGGCAGTGACTAGGCTTGTCTGCAGCATCTCTGTAGTCACATACCTGTCTTTCCTTTGTGGGACCTTTTATCCTTCACTTAAACTCCTGGAATTCCAGTGTTCTCATCTTCAGCGAATGAAATGAAACTACTTGTTGTCCAGTGTTAAAATGAGGATAAAACATAATTGCTGTAGAAAGTGTAATGTACATATCTGTAAAGGCATGTTACTTAGTGACATGCTAGTAGAAGCCATAGGTGCCAAGAGAAAAGACTTTAGGGGTAAATCTTGTTTGTCGCTGAGGGGGTGAAAAGCATGACCTTGTACTGATTATCTCAGATGTTAACCAACTCAGCCAATAGGCCCGAGCTATATACAGTATTTCTTGTTAGAGATTTTTTATCAGAGCCTTAAATGAGGATGCTAATTTTGCTAACATGAGAGCAGAGCTTCTCAACCTTCCTATGCCACAACTCTTTCATATAGTTCCTCGTGTGGTGGTGACCCACCCAACCATAACACTATTTTGGTTGCTACTTCATCACACTCATTTTGCTACTGTTATGAAATGGGCAACCCCTATGAAATGGTCGTTTGACACCCAAAGGGGTCGTGACTCACACCTTGAGAATTGCTGCATTAGAGTGTCAGTAGAAATGGTCATTAAACAGAGTTTTAAATGTGTATCAAATAATGATATAAGTTTTTGACTCTTTCTACCTGAATAAGTAGTACATAACCTTAATGGAGGGACAGTGAGGCAGTCTGCTCCTGTTAAGATTAACAGTCTCAAAAATCCGAACTAGGGCCACTAGGAATCACAGTTGGCTTCATACCAATGCCAGGGGTGTTTTAAAAATCTCTCAACAGTTGTGTTGACACGTATCTCACATAACATACAATTCAATGGTTTAAATATTTTTAATACCTCCACAATCAATTTTATGGTTAGGGTTGTGTGTGTGTGTGTGCTCTTTAAATAAGCCCAAGGTAGAGAGTTACATATTCTTGACTGTTATATTTTATTGCAAATATTGCATCTTCGGTTTGTTTATATTACAGTACTACAGACCCTCATGGTGCTGATAGATCCAAGGATTTCCACCAACAATTCCCCTGGCAAAAGGAAGAACAGCCACGCCATCAAGTCAGTGAACAGTATCGCAATGCAGATGAATTGCTTTTGCTCTTCCAGTTCCTTTACCTGGACTGAGTCTTAAGTCATCACTACCAGTACCACCACCACCACCTGTCTCAGGCTATCTTCTCCCTAAGAATCATTGCTTGCTATGTCATATACGATACAGCAGAAATAAATATGCAAACCTGAACTTTCTTTGTTTCTCTTTTTACTTTTATTATGACTTGACTAAAGGGTTACAAAGCAGATAATACATTTTACGTTCGGCAATTCATACACCTTTTGTTCCAACTCATGATTGCGACCCCTACAATGTAACATCACTAATCCCATTTCTTCCCTGTGTTTCCTGGATCCATTCCTTCTTTCCTATCCCTTCTGAACTCTGTCCTTGGTAAGTGTTGCCCTTTTCCTCTTAAATGTTTGGTTGCTATTATGTGTGCGCACCTCACTAGTGTTATAATTTCCCTTATAGGTGTGTTTGTTGTTTGGATGGAAATTTAGCCGTGTGGGTGAATTCAGGTCCAAATCTGGAGGGTGACTAGTAGCCATAGTCTACAGGGTTCTACTTAGTCTCTATCCCATCAGTAAGCCTGGTATCCTCTCTGACTTTGGGTTTTCTTTTACATTTGTTGTCCTCCTTGAAGATCTGAAAGAAGCCTTTCAGAGTAATTGGTAGTAGTAGTGGAGCATCATCTATCATCTCAGGGTTGTGGAGACTGATGTGTTCATGTTTCTGTAGTCCACTAGGCTAATTTTTTCCGTATGAGGGGGTACCAAAAAATGGATTTTTTTCAAAGCTATGTATTGGTTTTTTTTTTAACAAAACAACCCTATCACCTTCAAAGTACTTTCCATTACAGTTAACACATTTGTCAAATCTGCGATTCCATTCTTGGAAACATTTTTCAAGCTCATCTGTTTGGATGGCTGACAGTACCTTCCTCATTTTTTTCTTCACCTTTTCTACTTCATCAAATCACTGTCATTTCATGCCCCTCTTCATTTGAGTAAAAAGGAAAATGAAAAAATCTCATAGAGCGAGGTCAGTTGAGTCAGGTATGTGGGGCAAGAGGAACATGCTGGTTTTTTTGCCATAAACTGGTGCACTGAGATGACTGTGAACAGGTGCATTGTCATGGAGGCAAAACCAATCCACCATCTGCCACAAATTAGGCCTTTAAAACAATCACTTTATTTTATTTGCGGCTCTTATAACAATTCATACATCAATTATATCATGCACATTTGTACATATGTTGGCATCATCATTTTGAAAATTATTTTTTCTGTTTGAACCCTTGGTATTAGCTCCTCTTTTTTTCCCTCCCTTTGCCACCCTCCCACCCTCCTGGACCCCTGATAAATTATAAATTATTATTATTTTCATATCTTACACCACCCACTTTCTCCCTTCATCCACGTTATTGTTGTTTGTCCCCCTGGGGAGGGGGAGAATTATACTTAATCGTAGTTGGTTCCTCATTTGTCCCCCTTCTCTCCCCATCTCCCCCTTCCCCTCATAGTATATGATACTCTCATTGCTGTTCCTGAGGGTTTTATTTGTCCTGGATTCCAAGGGTCAAGAGCTCTTATCTGTACCAGTGTACATGCTCTGGTCTAGCTGGATTTGTAAGGTAGAATTGGGGCCATGATAGTGTGGGGGAAGAAGAATTAAAGAACTAGAGGAATGTTGTGTTTCATTGGTGCTATACTGCACCCTGACTGGCTCATCTCTTCCTTGTGAGCCTTTTGTAAGCCGATGTACAATCATCTACAGATGGGCTTTGGGTCTCTACTCTACACTACCCCATATTCACAGTGACATGATTTTTTGTTCTGGGTCTTTTATGCCTGGTACCTGATCCTCTCAACACCTCATAATCACACAGGCTGGTGTGCTTCTTCTATGTGGTCTTTGCTGCTTCTCAGCTAGATGGCTGCTTATTTATTTTCAAGCCTTTAAGACCCCAGATGCTATATCTCTTGATAGCCGGGCACCATCAACTTTCTTCACCACATTTGCTCATGCACACATTTGTCTTCAGTGATCGTATCAGGAAGGTGGGCACCCACTGATATGATTTTTAGTTATTTGATGTCTGATAACTGGTCCCTTCTACACCTCGTGGTCAGACAGGCTGGTGTGCGTCTTCCATGTGGGCTTTGATGCTTCTCAGCTAGATGACTGCTTGTTTGTCTTCAAGCCTTTAAGATCCCAGATGCAATATCTTTTGATAGCCGGGCACCATTAGCTCTCTACACCACATTTGCTTGTGCACACGTTTGTCTTCAGTGATTGTGTCAGTAAAGTGGGCACCCACTGATATGATTTTTATTTCTTTGATGTCTGATAACTGGTCCCTTCTACACCTTGTGGTCAGACAGGCTGGTGTGCTTCTTCCATGTGGGCTTTGTTGCTTCTTAGCTAGATGGCCACTTGTTTGTCTTCAAGCCTTTAAGACCCCAGGCACTATATCTTTTGATAGCCAGGCACCATCAGCTTTCTTCACCACATTTGCTTATGCTCACATTTTTCTTCAGCAATCGTGTCGGGAAGGTGTGCATCTGGAATGCCAATTTAATAGAACAATGTGTTCTTGCATTGAGTAAGCGCATTGAGTGGAGTCCCAATGTCCATCTTCTGCCTTAATACTAAACCTATAAATATATGCACGTAGATCTGTTTCCCCACACTCATATAAATATATTTGCATATGTACATTCCAGTCTTTAGACCTCTATAAATACCCTTTGTCCCCTAGTTCTTTCCTCTATTTTCTTTTACGTTCCTCTTGTCCCACTATCATGCTCAGCATTCATTTGGGTTTCAGTAATTTCTCTCGGTTACATTGCCCTTGCTGAATCCCTACCAGGCCTCTCATACCCTCCTTGCCACTGATTTTGGATCGCTCGTTGCTCCCCTCTCTGTGGGTTGGTCAGCACCACCTCCTTACCCCCACCTCCCCTTCTCCTGTGTCTGCCTGGAATCATTGGTCCTGTTGTTTTCTTCTCCAGACTATTCAGCCAGTCTATCTTATCTAGATAGATCTGTAGAGATAATAATATGCACCAAAAACCAAGCCATAGCAAGATAGGCGGTGAGTGAGAACACAGCGATGGCAACAAAAAAGGAAACCAATTACCCATAGAAGAATAAATTAATTAAAAGAAAAAAATTTTAAAAAGAAAGAAAAACCTGTAAATAGATCAAGGTCTGATTTTTGATCGCTAGGTGTCCTTCAGTCAGGTCCGATGGGGTACCATGCTCTGGCCCCAGAGTCTGTCCTTTGTACTCCCTCAGGGTCTCCCTGCTCTGCTCCCTTGGTTGCTCTGCCGCACACTTTTAGTGGTTTGCCTTGGTAGACACCATATCATTTAATAGCCGGGCACCATCAGCTTTCTTCAACACATTTGCTTATGCCCCTATTTTGACTTCAGTAATCGTGTTGGACGGTACACATCATAGATTTCCAGGTTATTAGAACAAAGTGTTCTTGCATTGAGGGAGTACCCAATGCCAGTCTGGTATGTTAATGCTTAACATTTAATATATGTACATAGGCCTATATCCCTATCATTATATATTAATTTATGTGCATACATGTATGCCTAAATTTATGCCTCTGTAATTATCTTTTGCCTCCAAGTTCTTTCCTATATTTCGTTTTGCTTTCCTTCTGTCCCACTATCATGTTCGACCTTCATTCAACTCTCAGTACTTTCTCTCATCTACATTGCACTTGATCAATCCTCATCAGGCATTCTGCTTCCTCCTCATCATCGATTTTAGATCTCTTATTATTCTCTTCTCCCTGCCTTTGTTGGCTGCCCCCTCCCTTTCTCCCATCTCCTCTTCTGCATGTACCCCCAGAGCCCTCAGCCCTGTTACTTTCTCCTTGGGATATGTTATCCTATCTACCCTATATAGATAGGCATGATAAAAAGAAAAAAGAAAGAAAGAAGAAAAAAACCCTGGCACACAAAAAAACCCAACCCTATAAATAGTCCAGGTCTGTCTGCTGACACTTCTGAATGTTTTCCAATCTGGTCTGGTGAGGTAACACACCCTGCCTGCAGATTCCGAGGTTACTTCATTGGTTTGCTCCCGTTGTTCTGCTGCGCTCCCTTCCTGTTTTGCTCCGGTGTGGGAGGGTCGGAAGGGCACAATTCCCACTCTTTCTCCAGTGCTGTCCCCTGAAGTCCAGTGGGTCAGTGAGGGGGTGTTGTGTCTTGTGCTGGGGCCAGCCCCACCGCTCTCTCTGTGTACTGGCTGCTCCAAGCACGAATGTCATCCTCCAGGCTTGGTGAACCAGGATGCAGTTCTCTCTCTCTCTCTCTCTCTCTCTCTTTCTCTCTCGCTCTCGCTCTCGCTCTCGCTCTCGCTCTCCCCCTCTCTTCCTCCCTCTCTTCCTCTCACCTCTCTCTTTCTTACCTGGATTCCTTGAGGAGATGAGCACCCAAAACTTTTTGTCTATTTATTCTCTTCAATTACAGACCTTACGACCCTATTGCTTTGGGGGCTGTTTCCCCCACCATTATCCATTCTGCCCTGCAGAGTATCCAATCAATTTCCAGGACAGACACAAGGAGGGGCAGTGTCCTGTAAGTGTTTGCCTGTGTGCGTCTTTGCTGGAAACTGCCATACTGGGGCCCAGTAGTCCTGAATTCCTTCGTTTGACTGAATGCACTGGACCAGTCTTGTGAGCTCTTTTGTCTAATACAGTAGTTCTCAACTTTCCTAATGCTGTTACCCTTTAATACAGTTCCTCATGTTGTGGTGAGCACATATGTGGGCATATCTGCATGTGGGCAGACCTGCCTGGAGACAGATAGAGGGGCGGTGTCTCAGTTCCTAAGACCATTGAAAATATGATCTTAAGCGACCCCTGTGAGAGGTTCGTTTGACCCCCAAATGGGATCGCGACCCCCAGGTTGAGAACTGCTCGTCTAATACAATGTATATCCCAATCAGGGTCTGTTTCCCACTTCTATAAGCACACCTCTGTTATATCTGTGTGCCACTAATCATGATTTTGTGAGTTTCCTTTTCCGTCTCTGAATCTCAGCAAATCCTTAGAGGCCATGATGACCTTATATTAATGGTGTGCCTCATCTGGATGTTTTTTTTTTGGCTCTGTCCTGATTAAGAGTTTATCAGTATTCTCCTTACAGTATATTAAAGGTAGC